ACTTTAGCCCATATAGTTGACACAAATTATTCATGATTGATGATCACAGTCTGCACCTGGAAGTATCCTGGGTAAGTATGTTGCACTTCATCTTCTGTTTTCTATTGTGTAGTAGATTTACTTCCAACGTTGTCTAGCTGTAGAATCTGTTTTTATGTTGTTTGGAGTGTGTGTTGGCAATGAAGAAAGAATTCTCTTTGCAAAATGCATTTGGACTGCATTTGCCCAAAGATTTGCCAGAACTTCCTGTAGCTCCAAGATTCTCAATTTCTCCAACACTTGTGTTCCAACTATTCGTGTTAGATGTTGCACTTAGCAACTCATGCACCTTGCCCCAGAATTCCTCAGTGTCTTCCATCATCATATTTGTGGCATAGTACAGACTAGCATAACACTGATATGCTCTGGATAGCCAATAATTCTCAGATATTGTCTGTCTCACAGATCCTGTCATTTGTAATCTATGTCACATGTAAGCTGCATCTGCATAACCAATCTATCTCCTCTGCCTTTTCTCCCCCCCCCCACCTCAAATCCTACATCAGTTTAGCCTCTGTGTATTGGATGAAGTGAGCTGCAATTCCCAAATTCTTCTGCCTTTTAATAAAATTTGGAAAACATGCTACCAGACTCCTGATTTTTCTGTCATGTATTGGGTGATAGCCAAGAACATACTTAGCAACATCACCATTCCATTCCACTCTATTCTTTGCATGGGCTCATGGCCTGAATATAATGTAATTTAAAGTGGCCCGTTCTGGTTCTCCTAAATTGACATATTCCTGAAACATTCAATTTAGTAACTTAATTTCCATTTTTACCATTTCAGCTTTTCTTGGGTTCGCTTCTCACATTCCAAGTTCTAACTCTGTGTCTTCATAAAACAAGGGACTCCTCTTTTAGGACCAGCAGGATCAGTGAACAGATGTCCATACAGCTTTGTTTTCACCACTTCATCAACTCCAGAGCTGCTTATGAAGACTAATATTCTTCATTAGTAGCTGAAGGTGCCATCATCTGATACCCAAAGTAATCTCTTGGCAACTAGACAGAACTGGTTTGCCACTGCCACCTTCTGGATTTGATTCTGGGGCTCCTTGTCCTAGATGGGTTTTCTCAAGCCACACCTGTCCTCACTCCTGTAATGAATTAATTTCACTCCTCCCCTTTCAATCTTAGCAGCAGAAGTAACACTACCAGGAGTTCACGCTCCTGTTGGCATTTGGTCTCAGGGTCATTGCTGCTACTGCAAACTCCCCTTCCATCAAGGTACTTAACTTCTGATTAACACAACCCAAATATAAGCCTCATTCCAATTAGAATTAAGATTTAGTCTTAACATATACATATATACGTTCATTCATACCCACTGCTATTACTTGGAAAAAGGACTGGGTTTCTTACCAAATCACTGATCTTTAAAGAGAAAGGCTGCCTTAGAATTGCTGAGAACAAAGTTAATGGAGATAGACTGCTCTTTTTCTTTCTAATCTTCCATTTGCGATGAAAGGAGGGGGCAAAAAAGCTTGTTTCCAATTCAGGGGCCCAGTATTCATGTGGGTGACTATATGAATTATAAACCTATGAGCCAATTCTAGCCACAAAGGAATTCATCATCTTCATCCTCAACCCAACACTCTTAAATAAAGGACGGAATGCAAATAATACTGTGAAGAACTATTGTATATTTAATAACTTTTTATAAAAATTTTGCCAGAGTTCTGTCCTAAGCAGGAAATAAATCCAAAGGCAGATGTTCAATAGGATTGTACAATTTTTTTTTATTGAAGAACTGAAAGTCCTGGTCCAGACCAGAGCCTCCTAGAGCAGCTGGGTAATCAGACCAGGAAACTGGCACAGCATAATCACAATTCAGTCTGAATATTACTCCTATTGGGCTTTGGCAACACCTTTAAGTGGTCCCTGGTCTCAGCACAGTAGTCTCCATGGAGCTCAGACACGAGCATACTGATTTACCTTTCAGCTGTCTCTTTCAAGAGAAGCCAAGAACAGCCCAGCTTTGACATATCTGGAGAATAAGTAAGGCCTGCGTGCATCAATCAGGCCACCATTATCCCAGCCAATTGTGGAGGTTTCCTTGATGAGAGAAACCCTCACGCCAGGAAATCCTGAGAGATTTTACATGGAAGGATTTCCCTCCTCAGCTCTGCTACAATCATGTTTCCTACTCCATGCCGGAATACAAATAATTCTTTATGCTCAAGGATCCAAGCAAACACACAGGCAGCCTCTGGGACATCTTGCTTCCTTGGGTGATTAATCCAGCCCCCCTCGTCTCCAATGCCTTTAAGACACATTGAGTGCATGTTTTAGCTCTTGCATCATGTCAGCTAAAAGTAGTGCTTCCTGTTCATCTTATCCACATTAACAAGAAAAGCAAGATTTACACACACACCCAAAATGCTTCTACCCCAATGGGGAATTTCCATCTACACTGTTCGATTTATACAAACACCAAATCAATTCCAAAGTGTCTGTCCCATTTCCCAATTACAGCTGGGCAAGGAACAGAAGTTTAATTCATTTATTCTTTTGTTTGCTGTACCTAATTTATTTCATTATTCGTATGTTTGACTCATATTTCTTCCATCATTTGTTGATTCGTTCTTACATCTGCCTTTGTCGAATTTTTAAAACAAGCCTGCTTTTAAATTTTGGCAGCTACACTTTAATTCAGGTCTGAAGAACGTATTATTTGGGGCATTTGGGTAACAATGACACAGCCGACACTGATGGGAATCATTTCACATTCAGAAGGCTTGGAAACATCCAACTTCTGGAGCATCCTGGACCAAAGTATATGGCTTTTGCTGGTTACTATAGTCTTCAAGAGTTGGAACACTGTCCTGTATTTGACATTCTGGGACTGACATCCACTGTGACTTCAGGCCTGACTTGTGTGTAAGGGATTCTTACATTCTTCTTGGATATATTTCCAGTATTTGCAATGTACCAAAACATCAAGAATTATGGACCTTTCACATAAGGGATTAATCTATACCTAATTAGCAGAAATGTATAGTATAGTTGATATGTTATTTGTTAATATCCAAATTAGTCATTTAAAAAAAAAAAGGTCAAGTTTTAGGAGTTATTTATGAGATAACCTTCAAGAAAATTTTTTAAAAGGGTCTGGTCAATCTTATCACAGAGTTAACAATTATAGTGTGTTAATTCACTCCCTAGAATCTAAGGTTTAGATGTTGGGAAACATCAATCTTTGAATGCAACTGCCAACAGAAATTATGATTAGACAGATGGTGCCTTTGTGCCTCCACATTTTGCACATTTCTTGAAGAGGTCTGTATCCCCCTTAAAGGTGAAGCCAGAAACAAGGGTGTCTCTAAGTATTGGTAACGGCAAAGAGAGAAGGAAACTAATGAAATTTGACAAATACATGTTTAGTATACTGCCCTTCGACTTTAGTAACTGCTGTCAAAATAATTGATGAAAAGGAAAGCACTCTGATTATCAAACCTCTAGAAATGGGAATATTATTATCGAATATTGTAGATTTGTACTACTGTATTATTAAGTTTTTGCATGAAAGCAAACTTTTTGTTTTTTGCCATAAAAATCTAGCCCTCCCCCCAGCACTGGGATGGCAAAGTTGGAGCCAAGGGTTTGCATAGATGGATGGATGGAGGAGGATGGATTGACCATTTTCTTTGTGTTTTTATCATTGTTGTTAGTCACTCAGAGTTATGTGCCACAAGGTGGGCAACCATATAAATCTTTTAAATAAATACAATCTTAAAGCCCATTTTGGAATTTCCACTGGGAGGCACTGAAAGAGAAAATTGAGCCTTGCAATGATTTTCCAAATCTATAGAAGTTTCCTTTTGAATGTTGGGGGTGTGGGCATAAAAAAGCATCAAATGTGATTTGTGGAAATTGACTGATAGTCCTGATAACTCTGTGAATTCCTCTAACTTCTTGATATAGTTAGCTGAATGGGAGGCATTCAAGTCAGAACCATATCATTTGCCAATACGTTTGAATGACGTTTTGTTGCCCAGTTTTATCCTATAAATCTGATACCTGGATCCAAGTGCTATCGCTTCTTCAGTTGAATAATAGAGGTGATAATGGACAGTCCTGCTTAGAACTTCTTAAAGTCATAAAAGAATCTAAGTCAAAACTACTGAAACTTATCTGAGCTTTAGTTGCTCCATAAATGTGATCAATCATCTTGCAAAAGCCAACCTCAAATTTAAATTTAATACTTTAATACTTCTTTTAAAAATTGTGGTTCCAGAGAATCAAAGGCTTTAAATACATCTAAGGAATGCATGGCTAGTGAAAATTATCATGGATTTGTGTCACTTAATTACTTGACAATATTTGTTAACCACAGTTCCACAAATAAAGCAAAAACAAAAATAAAAATCAAATCTGGTTATATTCTGCCACATACAACCATCCTTCTGTATTTGATCACAGCTGAAGAAAACTAGGATGACATATACAAACTTCAAAATTATGTACTACAGGATGTTCACTGAAGTGAAGAACAGATTTTGGAGATAGTTTCAAAACATACCTGCATCCACCTTACGTTGCAAATATTAAGATGCATATCTATCTCAAGGGAGACTTCTATAGTCTACTCCTTCGTTAGAACTAGCCTTAATATCTTACTCTGTAGCAGAATAATATGTTGGTATCATTCACCAGACTGACAGAATATTCACACCAAGGATGCTAACAAAATCAAGTAGAAGAACATTTTCTACTAGTAGTGTTCCTAATTATTAATGAACAGCCATTCCTTAAAACAGTAACTCCACTATGCAGAGATCTATTGTTTGAGATTCTTCCTCCCTTATCCCATTTTACATTCCAGGCTGCATCTTGCTTCTATATGGTTCCATTAGTTAAACTAAAGGCCAAGCATATATCCCACTTCAGACATATTAATTTTACAATTATTTTATTAGCTGCCTCTTCTAGCTCCAATAATAGGTGTTGGTTCTTACCTTTAAAGCCCCAAAGAGCTTATGGCTCCATAAACCCATCTGGAGAGTAAAATCTGCAAGAGAAACTCTTATGAATATGTGCCCACTTTCCGAGGCCAGCCTATATGTGAAGGAACACGCATTCCTATAACCAAATCTGCCCTTCTTGTTCTTCTGCTACAGCCTTTCTCTAAAAGTTCCTCCCGTGATGGTATGCCATTCACCTATAACCAAGGACCTTCTTGATAGTGATTTTCTAGTTATAGAAGTGGGAAGATTGGGAGCATGTTTTTCAAATAGGAGCCTCCCTTAACACCATCCTTAAAATTGACAGCTAACCCAACTACAGTCTGCAACATGAAGTAGGGATTAGGTAATCAAGGAAAAAGTCAAATTGGGAACACAATGATCTTCAAACAACTAACAGTCTTCAAATCCCAGCCTACACACAGTCTTAAAACTACACATGTAGTTTGGAGATTTGACAGTGTCCTTGCCAAGTGAATAAAATACAATACAAAGACAGGTCATCTAATATGATTAGGTTCCAAATGGATGGTGGTAAAATACCAGCTTGTGTAATCTTTAACTCAATAGAATAAGCTTGAGGGAGCAACAAACTTGTATTTGCACAGGACATTTAACAACCAATTTCGAGTCTCTACAAGTTTGCATGATGTATCTACAACTGCATTCGTAACACATTTGTTACAAAAATGTTACGAGTTAGTGATGTTATAAAAAAAAAAAAAAAACCTAGTATGTACATCTAAGCATGGCCCTTATGAAGAAAACCTGTCAATGTATCATGGCAGCAATAGAAATCAATCATCTAACTATATTGTGTAAAACACCGACAAGAAGCAACCAGCAGAAAATTCAGTTTTGTGACAGCTTTAATGGCACAAAATTTTATAGCTACACTTTATACATGTACTGTAAACTGTATATTATCATGTTACAAAGTGCTAACTAAAGATGAAGAATGCATAATCACTTTGGCTCATTTAACTCCAATAATTTCAGCAATATGTCTTTAATTGTTTTTTAAAAAAGTGACTTCTCTCATAGTTGTTTTCACTTTTTAAAAATAGTGAATAGTTGAATTTGTTTGCTTTGTTTAGTGTTGCAGTTCAGCCTGCTGCATTTTTTAATGTGCGAGCTTATGCATTTCTGCTTGATCCTATGTACAAATGTCACACCCCGTTTTTCACTCATCATTTGAAAAATGAGGCTTGTGTTTCCCCTCAAACTGTAAACAAGTATAAAGCTACTTAACAATGTTTAACTTAACAAAGCTTTACATCTGATATCTCTTTCAAATTATAACAATCTGGTCCATTTTGTAATATAAAAAGTTAGGGTATTTCAAGCTTTTAATCAGTTATTAATAAATACTGCTTTGGACCACTGCATGGCAACAAGCTCAACAGTGATCAGGTACATAAATGCCAAAGATGTTTTTCCATCAGTTTTAATCTCATAAATGCCTGAAAATTATTATTGTTGATTCACAAGCATATAGGCTTTCTAACTTATCAAACAGCATTCTGTAGATTAATTATAATGTACTTTGGACAGGATTTCTTTGCCTTTTAACAACTATGGTCCAAATGTCATACAAATGTCTTGTTCCAACTATTACAAAATGCAATAAAATAATTGGTGTTGAAAAGTACTGTTGGACTTCTAACTCAACTCATGCTTGGTTTTTAATTGTTGTTTTAAACAACTCTCATTCTATTTAATCACCTCAAAATTATTCCAATATCCACACAGGAAATAAATACATCGTTGCACATAATACAAGTGCTATTATTATAAGCTGAAAGGGCAAAACAACCTTCACAGGTTATGAAGACTATGTGTAACTTACTGGGTGGAAGGAAGGAGGGAGAGAGGGAGAGAGGGAGAGAGGGAGAGAGAGAGAGAGAGAGAGAGAGAGAGAGAGAGAGAGAGAGAGAGAGATCGATCTCCAGTAAGTTACAGAGAATCAAAGGTTGAAACAAAGATATTTAGGAATGGATATCATGAAAATCCTCTCCACTTCACACATTTCACTTATTTCAGAGGTACTAGCTAACTTACTTGCACTATTAAGTCTTCAGAGGTCTGTCAACTCTTAAGATTTTATATATGCTTTATTGTCAATCTAATACATTCTATTGCAGAATCTACTGATTTCTGCTAGTTTTAAAATCAGTCATGCTTACCTCAATATGTAGCATGTGAAGCCTTCTTCAAATTAAGCTCGCTTGCTGATGGACTTCCTGGACAGGCCCCTGTAGCTTTCTTGGCAACAATATGGAACTCACCTGTAGTGGGTTCTTCCAGTTTTTATTGACTCCTAAGTCTAGTCTGCAATCTTTGTACTGACCAGCCAATCTGGTTTCCCATCCAGATACTCATCAGACCCAACCTTGCCTACCTTCCAAGCCCAGGCCCAGTCAGCCAGGTGCTACCTCCTGCTATGATTAACATGCATGAGCAGGAAAATATCTCAGCGGGTACCACAAACACATATACATACACATACACATACATACACACACACACACACAAAATAGCACCTGGATAATCTAGTCTGGGGTCAAACGCTAAGCGCTGGACATGGTTAGTACTTGGATGGGGGGGACCACAAACAGCCGTTGACTAAATGGGGAAGTCAAAAAACATTCTGGAAGAAGGCAATAGCAAGCTATTTTTATACTGCTACCAACAAACTACAGGGGCACATCCATGAAATGCAGAGGAGAGCTCAATTTGAAGAACTTTCAAAATCATACTTTAGGTTTAAACATCTAAAATACATTTATTTAGGAATATTGGTCTATATAAACTTTAAAAATTTGAATTGAGCTTCACAGTTTGGGAAAAAGTGTATCTGAAGAAAAACAATGCAAAATATTCCCCTTAGTGAGATTTCTAAGTTATTACCAAAATCCTTTTTGCTGGTCTGTGACTGTAATAAAGATTTGATTTGATAGCAAAATCCTTAGGATTTCAGAAATTGCAATGAGAGATGCAATTCCAACCATGAAGATGGAAGAAATGGAACTCGACCACAGAAGACAGCTCAAAATGTTGTGGGTTTCCCCCCCCCTTTTTTTAAAACAGAACTGCAAGACTGTTCCCAAGTAGGATGTCTCAAGCATCTATTAAAGCAACCCATTCTCTTTGTAAATTGCAAGTGGCTTTAGAATACAGGTATCTCCTTTTACATAGAGTCTAAACACTTAAAAATACTTCAAGTCAAACTACTCTGAAAGGAAGACTTCCATTAAATAAAATGCTAAAGAATACTAGAGGTTTCTTCACATGCAAATAATGAAATAGTTTTTAAAAATCTAGATGCTGGCCAAGGTTTGCTATCAGAAATAAACTCACTACTTCATGGAAACACAAGATAATGATAGTTACTTGGTATTCAAACTTGCTGAGGAATCAAATTCTAATTCTTTTTGATATCTGTGAAGTGTTTGCCGCCTGAAAATTAAAAAAAATATTAACTCAAGACAACTGCAAAACAAATTGCAGAAAGAAAACAAACCTGCCAATTATTTTTAGTTTGTTTTATAAACAGCTTCTGTTAATTCTCAGTCTCTTTTATATATGGGGGTTGTTATACTGAACGTTTCATTTAAGCACTGGGCAGATCATTTGCTATTGTAGTAAAGAAACAGCAGAGGCATCACTGATAACAATTGTAATTTGCTGGTGGCGTTTTGCACTGAACGAAGCCCTTGCGACATATAGGCAACTGTAAACTCTGTTAGGCAACTCTGATGTGTCCTGCAGGATACGGAAGGTGGCTGGGGAAAGACAACTAGTGAAACACCTTCACAGAGTTCCAACACAATACTGCATTCCAAGAGTTAGTGGAACCTGGATATGTAAAAACAAGGTGAAGGCTGGGGAAGGGGAGGAAGGTCATGCTTAGAATTGTCTCAAGTTCCAAAGGTACTAGTGTGACATTAATTCCTTCACAGATCATCACAAGGATTTCCAGGATTTGTGCACTGCTTCTTTCAGTAAGTGCTAGCTGAAGGTGTGGTCAGTCGCTTTCCAATGTAGATACTGTAATGAAATGCAAAGCAAAGTACATTGGTACTTATATGTGTTCCCTGCCCCAAAGATCTTTTCAGCTTACTTTATTCTTCTGATCTATGCTGCATTTCTAACATCCATCAAAGAAAATCAAAACATTGTATCAGGCACTCATCCATATGATCTTTAAGAGGACATGCAAACATGATGTGTGCCTCATGTGGATCATGAAGAAAATTATCATTAGCATCTGCATAAGCAGTAGGCAAAAAAGTAGAGATGGCTCTACTATATGTCCGTGTTATTTTCAGTAGGCGGGCAGGCTGTTACTCCCAATTCCTTAATTAGAAGTAGGTACCTGGTATCTGAAAAAGCACATGGCACTATGCACATTTTTCTTTTGCATTCATGAAGTATTTTGTTTGCTTACTTGTTTATATTAAATATGGAAAATACCAAATATGTTCAATTCTCTAGAGCATACAACCATTGACAGATTGTTGTTACTGTAACAGATCAAGAGTAGGTTTTTGCATGGAAATACTATGAGCTCCTTGGTTTTGATATTCAAAACTAATTCCAGAGCTAAAGAGTCATTAACTCTTATGTTTTTTGCATAGATCTCAAAATTCCAGTTAAAACAAAACAAAACCAAGTAGATCCCACAAGCACCACTCCTCACTTATAATTTCCTTCCAAGACCAAAAAACTACATAAAGGCATTGCTGGGACCATTCACATTAGGCTTTTAAAGGAAAGTAATCATAATAATATTATTAAGAAACATGAACATTACATCTATAGATTTTTAAAACATACTGAAAACTGACAACTGTTCCTTAACAGAGCTTAGGGATTCTGCTTGTTGATTATCAGCGATGGATACAAGTTGACCAAAGTGACAAACACATTTATAACTATTGCTACTACTTATTCCTATGCTAGCCCCTTCATCAAAGCCCAAAGGAAAAAATACCTCAAGGTAAGATATTATAAGTGGCAGCTAAGCAGAGCTTGATGTATCTTTACTAATGCATCCCCCATTCATTACCGCCAGAAAGTCCCAAAACAGTTTTTTGATCAAGATAACTCAAACTGGGTATTAAGAAAAGCTGTTGTAACATCTATAATGTATATCCATCCTTTAACCAAACCTTTCTTGCAGTTTAGTTCTGCGTTCCGTTGCTAAAGGAGCACTTCCTACTCAAGATCAGTTGTTACTGAACAAGTACATGCTTGCAAAGATCCGAAGAACCCCAGGAGAAGCTACAGTTACTATTTCAAAAAAGCAACAGCAGGGGTTTATTTTCCCTGTACATTAGAATGATGGGGAAAACATTTTAGGGCTTTTCTCCCCATCATTCTGCAGCTGATTTTACAATGCCCCTCTCATTCTAAGCGGTCCAGTGCTAACTGTGCTATATAACATTTTCCTAGTGGTGTGTACATTTACTTTTGATCCCTTTCCAAAAACACTGGAATTCCCACTAGTGTTATTCTTGAACAGGAATTGCTGGGAACAATTCCAGAACTCAAAGCTTCAAGAACTGTTGAAAATAACTCCACATCATTCTGATCCCTCAAAATATGTATTCATACTTACCCTAGTCCCAAAGCCAAAACATGAGATATGAACAGAGATGGAATGAAAACCTTAAGAAATTCAGCTGAGAAAATGCCACCTTTCTTCATGGCTCCACTCTTTCTCATACTTAAAGACACTGCTCGCTTAGGATGTCTGAAATGAAACTCCCTGGGATGGGGGGGAAAAAAGAGGATGGGTTTGTATAGAATATATTGAATCTGGGTACTTGAAAACAACAATAAACCAAGACTTAAGAACTGTAATGGAAAGCCCTTGTAATAGGTATGAAAACATGGAACAGTAGCTGATGAAAGAAATTTAACAGGAGAACACCTCATTTTCATAACAGAAATATTACATGTCAGACTTTACTTTTAACTTTATTATGAATGTCTCCTCACATTTAAGGATCACAGCACAGCATTCTTGGGCATCCAATAAACATTAGATCAGTGCTAACAGTTCAAATTAATGAGCCACTGTTAAACTACTAAGTCTTGCTAAATTACTTCTTCAGAGGTATTTTCAAGCATGGAACAATTTTGCTCCCATTGTGAATAGGTGATAAGTTCAGGATGCAGAGGTCCACAGGAGCAGAAACTCTTACTTTCTCATGCTGCTGATGAACAAAGCACTCCCTTTCATTCTTATGAAGGTAGGCAATTTATATCAAAAAGAGCCCCTGCTAAGTTTCAATCATCTCTAGAAACCAAACACAGCATTGCTTGTGTTAACAAGTAAGGCAACAAAACATAGCAAAACTAATGGATAATTCTCTGAAACGCAGCGGTGGACAACTTTTGGTGGCTCTGCTATACTCAACCTCGGGCCAAAGCAATGAGAAGAATTATGGAAAGATTATGTCACATACATTGGGAGAAGATTTTTTTTTCTGTTTTTAAGGTGGAGATGATAAAGAACTGTTATGTCTGTAGGGCTTGACTGACAGTTTTCATGGATTTCTTGCCTCAGAATGGTAGGGAACTTCCTAGCTAAAATTTGGCAGCTCGGTTGAAAGGGACTAGAAATGTGCAAAACATTTCAAAACCACTGGCTTTGGGTAGTTCATACCTAAAGCTAAACCTTCTTGCAGGTCAGCGGGATATGCCACACTGAGACATCAGCGAGGGTAGGTAGGCAAGCTAGTGGGAGATGCTGCTCTGGGAAGTCCTGAGGGGAGAGGGGGAAAGAGGGGTCAACATGCACAAGTTTGTTTTTGCGCAAACTATGGCCAACCTGAAATGATTTGGCAGAAACTTCTGGAATATTATGGCGGGATAAGGAAACACATTTTCAATTTTAAGCATATCGTAACGGACTCTGAGGCTGATGCAAAGCAAGGGAAAGAGTAAAAAGAGTTTTCAACTTAATTTCTATCTTCCTTCCTTACCTAGAAGTTCCATAAAGAGATGTGGTTTTCTTTGACTCCAATGAGTAGCTACTCTGCAATATGCGCACTCTAATAAGGATGGGTTGAAGGAAATTGTGATAGAAATTTATACCGTTACAAACTCAGAATTTGATCTAGTTTTTCCTAGTACGAAAACAGTTCTTCAGCATACTTTTTGTAATTGTTTTCATATTATGTTGCAATCAAAATTGCTTCTCAGTGAAAGTGCATTTATTAGAAAGGATTTCAACTCACTTGGGCGGAATGTTTTCAGGTCTACTTGACCAATCTGACACCCAGTCAGCACTTTTCTTCAAAACTTCCACTTCCTTTTCGCCTTCTACTGTTTCCTCTTCAGACTGAAAATACATAATGAATAAATTCTGTAACTCTTTCAGGTCAATTGCTCCTCTTGTTATTTACTGCAGAGCACTGATCAGGAGATAAGCAGACCATGCTGGCAATTCTGATAGTCTTATAAAAATTCAATGCAGGAAAGACAACTAAAAGATTTAATCTGAACCAGTTTTATGCTATTTATAAGAAACTGTGCCTTCCTTACATAGCCCACAACATGGCTATACCTAACATATTCCTTTATTTTAAAAAAGAGTTATCATAATACAAAGAATATAAGCCATCAAATCGGTCTGAAATTATGGAAGGACTCAAAACACAGCTGGGAAAGTAAGTCAGTTACTTGACAGATACTGAACTGAACAAACAGAAGCCTATTTGTTATATATTTGTCTAAAAATAATTCATCTCTTTGCCTGGTCATCTTCTCTTCCTATGTTTAATGATATTCTTATTGCTCAGACTTATATGAATCAGTTTACAATGAATAAACACCCTGAAGATCCTGAAATCCTAGATAGCAGTTAAGTATCATTGTAATGATTAAGTCTCCATGAGATTAAACAAATACATGTATAGGTTTCTAGCAATTTACTACAGAACAATTTCCAAAAATATGACTTAAAATATTTATGGATGAGATCAACATTCTTAATTAGAATTAATGTTCTATCAACAAAATCCACAAAAGTAATATTTTTGTTCAAAACTTCAGTTACCCTACCACAAGAACTGAAACATAGTTGAAGCTGTTTTAAAAGAGCAGCTGCTGACAGACAACTTTTCTGGGAGGCACAAAGGTATACTATTATGTTATCAAAGACTTCTTGCCATTTTATAACAATGGAAGTTAAAATATCTCTAAGAACATAAAAACTTAATTTTGAATACATAAAAAGAGTACCTCCCCACTGACCCCCCCAAAAAAAGAGATTATATTGTTTTTCAGGATCAGACAGTGAATAACAACTCACTGCTAGAATACAGTTTTAAAATTGTGCCATATTAATCCTTCTAAAACAGAACCGTAGGTAAATATGAGGAAAATACCTGAGAACTATTGTCTTTACTTGTATGCATTTCCACATCAAACATTATTTGTCCATCTTCTTGAGGAGAAGGACTATGGAAAATAAAGATATCATCACTGTTATTATTTCTATAGAAAGTGATTATTAAGCATTGTTATTAAATTTCCACTTGTACTTATTACTAAAGATGTATTTATTTAGTGCTTTTATATCCTATCAAAAATCTGACAATTCTCAATGGCGCACACAACAAAATATCTACAGTATTTTAAAATAGCAACTTAATCACTAAATCATAAAACCCTTAGACCAGTGTTTCTCAACCTTGGCAGCCTTAAGATGTGTGGACTTCAACTCCCAGAATTCCCCAGCCAGAAACAATGCCTTAAAATAACAGGAATAAAATCAGTGCAATATAAATTAAAAAGATGGCACAATACCTAGCATCATTAAACACTCTGCAGAATAGTGCAGTTTCTTCCTGAAAGCTATCGAGGAAATGGCCAGTCTGATCTCCACTAGGAGACTATTCCTACCTTTGGCTGCCCTTACCTGTCAGAAGTGTGGGACTACAAGGAATTTCTCATTAAAGATCTAGTAGGTTGGATTGATTCAAGTTGGAGCAGGCAGTCCTGCAAGTACCTGGTGTCAAGCCATAAAAGACTTCATAGGTTAAAACTAACACTTTAAATTGTACCTGAAAACCAACTTATACCCAGTGCAGGGCCTGGAGAATAGTGTTATATGCCCCCAGTGACGGGTGTCAGTTAACATGTGGACTGCTGCGTTCTAGACCAGTTGTAGTTTCCAAGTAGTCTTTAAAGTCATCCCCTTGCAAAATACATTGTGCTAATGTAACCAGGTGGTAATGAGAGCAAGAGTTATTATAGCCAGGTCCTCCTGCAGCAGTTAAGACTGCAATTAGTGCCCCATCTGAAGCTGGGCAAAAGTTATCTTTGCCACAGCTTCTACCTGCTTCTTGAGCAGGAATCATGAGTCCAGAAGGACTGCCAAATCATGGGCCTGTTCCTTCATAGGCAGTCCTTGTCTATCCAGGGGGAAACTGGTGTTAAGAGAACCCTGATGAACAAAGAGCAACCTTAATTCTCTTCTGAGCAAAAAGACAGGGCTTAAATTGAATAAATTCATGTGAAACTACTTATAAATTCCACTGAGGAAGAAACCAATATTGATATATCTGCAGTTTGAAAAAAAAAGATTCTAACATGTTGGCTGCAGCTATGCTGGACTCCTCTAAATTAGAAACTACAATTCAAACAATTTTTATCTGGTGCTTCCTCAGTGGAATGCAAAAGCAGTTAAACATTTATGTTCAGAGTTGATAACAGCAGCAGAAAAAGAAAAAGTCATTTGCTGTTAGACTGTCCTTGCCAAGTTGATTTGAAATGACTTAACCAGGCGCACAAGAATTCAGGGATTTCTGATCAATAATTTATTGCAGAAAAGCTAAGAAGCCACTATGAAAAAAAATTCTAGCAACTGCTGGGTATTAAATGTGACTTCTATTTAAAATAATTAGTGTTCACATTTCTTGAGTCTTTTTCTTCTGTCTACTCTGCATGAAGAAGCAATTCCTTTTTGGGTGGGAGATTCAATTTCTATCTATTTTTTGTTTTGGTAAGGGCTTGATCAGCGTCAGGTTGTTTATTCTGACTATTTAATAATAAACTTTCACATTTGTTGACTGGAAAACTTTTCTTGTCTCTGCTTAAGTGCCTTTCCCTTACTGCTTCCTTTAATAAAGAATTCCTCTTTATAAGAGCTGAGCTCCTCCTCTGCTACTTCCTGGGAGGAAATATAGTCACACCCACCTCCACATCACTAAATCATTCAGTATCTAACTCCTGACCCAGCTCTCTTCCCCGGTAAGCAACATACCAGCAACAGACTGAAACTGGTAGTTTAAGACATCTTTAATCTGATTAAGAGAATTAATCACCAGATGTACGGAATATTAAGAGATGAACAATCACTTGCAGGACATACTTCTATTTCTACAATCTGATTATTGGAAAAAGGAAGCATATTTTTATAACACTTGAAAAACTAGAGTGTTGCTTTTATTGTCTTTATTACCTCTGGGACTAGCAATAATAAGTAGATAATTTCTTATATAAAATTATTACATGAAGACATAGCATGAATTTCTAATAGATGCAATTTAGCTGATCTGGTGAATGTTTGCTTCAAAACACATTGAAAACAAGATCACAGGTAGTGTCTTACTTAAAGAGGCTTCAAACTTTCAAGCAATGAAGACAATCATCTTTAACAGAAGCAAACAATTTTAGGGCACAGATGTAATATAACACATCAAAGACCTAGTGTACTGATGAAGGGCTGACTTTTTAATTTTGTAGTTTTAGTGTCCTGTTTAGGTTATCGCCACTATAATAAAAGATAGCAAAATGAATTCACCACTATGGATTCTTGCCCACATAATTGTTTTTAGTAAAGAAATAGGTTTCTGCCCTGTCTAAAAATAAATAGCAAGTATCTACTGCAAAAGGCTCATCAAAAATAAGCAGTAGGTTTTTTTTTTTTTAAACTGAATATACAGGGCAGACACCGAACTGCATAAGATTTTTCCAGTCCTTCAGAATTTCCTTCTAGGTCTCCCTCACATAATATAAGAAGCTTTAATAAAACTGAAAAAAGCTTAAGCCCTTAAAAAGCAATGAGACAATTTACCTATTATCTATACAGCAACCGATATATTAAGACCCTGGCTTAATATGAGACATAAGTCCAGCTAAATCTGCATTCTAGGAAATGAAATGACAGTAACAGTTGCAAAAAAAAACTCATTCCAAAGTATTTTTAAAGTGTAAAAAAAATGCTTACCTGTCACAATGAGAACTACCCCTTGAACTGCTTTGTCCAGACTCATGCTGAGCATCGAGAAGTATCTTCTCCATATCTCCATTGTGGATGGAAGATGAAGAAGGAACATGTTCTAGACCACCATTTTTTACATTGCTGTTGTCGTTGTCATTGCCATTCCCATTCATCTGCAGCTCTACCCAGGAACCTATTGAACAGTCAGATATCTCATCAGAAACTGTGAACCAAATCCAAACAGAGCATTTATCAGTTACTTGTAGAAATATGCAGTCATACCAAATTTTGATAACTGGAAAGAGAGCAAATAATGCTTAATTTACCCCAAAGTCTACCTGCAAACAACTTTCTACTTGTCTGATTAGTAATTTAGAAATAGTTTAAGACAACATATTAAAGAAACTAGACATTATTAAGGAAGTGTTTTAGTTCTGTAAAGTGACTAGAACTGTTTCATGTCTGTTACTACCACATTACTTAAGGCTCAGCTTCTATAAGGAGCCCAGTTAAGTCCATACCCCAACCATTATACTCCATAATCTGTTCAGTCCAAATTTGAGAGCAGTGGTTCAGATCTCAATGTGCCCCAAATGCTGTCTTTCAGCTGGAGGCTAACCTACTTAAGGTAGAGAGTGTTATGCTTGGGTAGCAATTTTTAATTTTTGGTTAAAACCTAACTTTTATCCAATGGGCCTGACAACCTTAATAATCTCTGACAAATTCCATTTAGGCTAGAAGCACACCCCATTAGTTAAACTGCAGTCATACAGCCTATCTCCAGAGGTTGGGTCTTGATTCTTCTTAAACAATGAGACCTGGCCAAGAACGGCAAAAATCAACTGAATTTAGTTCCTAATAGCTTTGCTCTGGAATTTGAGACTCAATCAGCATTCACAGCCAGTCAAACATCCTTTCACTTTGGAATCACCTAAATATTACACAATCTTCTACTAGGTTTGATTTAATGTTCTTCCATTTGCTCTGTCGGAAGGCAGATTTAATATTGTAGGCCTCCCTATGAGTACACATTTGTCCTTTTGGCTCAGGAATGGTAATGTCAAGCATGTTCTGATGTACTGCAAACAATCTAAGGGTCTACACAGTAAAGCTATTGACTTTAGCAAGCTTTCCTGGCCAGATGTATTCTTAGCGGTGTCCTGTACAACAGCCTGTAGAGCATGGCAAGAAATAATGAGTTACCAACAAAATAGGTAATCCAGATCATAACAGCTAGAAAAAAATCATTGTCCACTACTTTTACGTCATTATGTTAATATCCCTTTTAACACAGTGTCTGGACATTTAATGTTTGTAGGATATTTTAAATTGGTGGCCTTTGCCCAAAATAAATTATCACCACATAATAAAAATGTTAAGAGCTGCACAGTAACACTAACAAGACAGCAGCAGAAGAAAAGGAATATATTCCATCAAAGCAGGTGAGAGGATTCCAGGACCCTCTCCTTCAAATATTAGTCTGTCATGGCAAACTTGTGTATCCATGCTTTGGACAGAATTCTCATGTTGTGTATATGATCTAATTAGCTGAAAACAGGGGTTTAACCGTTCCTAGTAATGCAGAGAAATCAAAAGCCAGTGTGGTGGAGTTCTTAAGGGGGCAGACCCAGGTTCTCATCCCCCCTCAACCATGGAAGCTCACTGAGCAACTTTGGGCCAGTCCCTCTCTCAGCCTAACCTATCTTAATAGAGTTGTTGTTGTGGGGAAAAATAGGAGAAGGAAAGGATATATAGGAAGGAGTGCTATGTATGATGTTTTGAATTTGTAAACAAAATCCACACTATAAATGTAACAAAATAAAATGGTAAATCCACCGTAAAATCAACTCACTTGGAGATAATAAACTCCTTATTAGTTTGCATATGGCTGTCTTACTGTCAGATAACAAATGCAGAATATAAATATATATTATAAATAAATAATAAATAATATAAAGACACAATCTGGATAATCTTGCTAGAAAAACTGCATAATATAAAAATAAACCTATTATGCTATAAGCTTTTTGGCTTAAACATATGGAAGTGTCAGATATTGCTTCAGCATTCTAAATCTTGGTGCTCAGAAAAACAGATTATAAAAATAATTTTGTATTAATAGTGAAATCACCGTTCATTTGCACATATGACACTTTTAAAGAACTGAGATTCTGGTATGAGAATGATACCATATATCAAGGATCCTTCCAATTGCTGGCCATTCAAATCCTAAATTTGTAGAACAATACTACTTAGTTGTTTGTCCCCATTTCTTTTTCACTTAATTTTACTGCAGAATACCTTTGCCGAGGAATGACTTCTTTTTTTTTGTTGGGTGAGGTAATCAACTTGTTTTAAAATACACTAACAACTTACAGCAAAATCCCCAAAGATATACACTGGGAATTAAAAGAATTCTGATCCACCAAATTTGTGTTGTGTAACCAGTTAAATAAAGCTAAACATCCTTCAACATAAAAATCCATTCTTTATCACCTCTAGTTTTCTTAATTTCAGCAATCTAATTTAGGTCAAGAAAGAAATGATTTGTCATTACTAAACAACTGGCAGTCAGAAATCTTCCCCTATCTTCTACAAATTATCTAAAGAACCTCATGTAAATCCAAATGTATCTTCTACCCACTCCTGTTCTTGAATATACAGCTATTTTATCATATGTACAAATAATTCCAGAGTAATTTCATGACTACTTCCTGATATTTATACAACTACTTAGCCATATGGTTCACTGTCATGTGGATGCTATTTGCTCCTACATTTGGAGGTTACATACGCACAAAACTCTAACAAAGAGGTAATGTAGTAAAACCCTGCTGGATTAACAGAGGTATTTCAGTGTGGTTTACCTCTCTGTAAATATACACATTCCCTCTCTTTATGTGTGTGCGTGTGTGTGTGTGTGTATATTCTAACCATATGACTTAAGTATACCCTAGAGTCCTGTACTATATTGTATTTATTTAACAATATTTGTAACCTGCCCCATTCCTATCAGACTTTGGGCAGAATACAACAAGGTCAAAGCAAACAAAGCAAAGTACACACAATTAAAATAATACCTTCAAAAAGTCAACATGCATGATAAAAACGAATAAAGTAAACTGAGAGCAAAATGCCAGGAAAATCGGGGCCAACCCATACTCCCATGGGGAGGCTATTCCACATAGTGGGAGTTTCCACTAAGAAGGCTGTCTGTATATGAATAATTTCTGTGTCTTTCCTTTGGAACCAGTAGGGAACTGCATTTTCTTTAAACAGACTAAGAACTAACACAGGAAGAAAAAGAACACAGGAAGATAACAGTCTCTTAACCTTTTCCCTTCAACTGTACTATGCAATATTTAATTTTATTCTCTCTTGCAAATTTTTTATTCATATTGCTATCTCAGCAAAATGAGGAACAACTTCCCCCAAATAATTATTGAACTATGTATATTTACTTTCTAGCATATGTTACTGAGAAAATTATACGGAATTTTATAAAACAATGCAAGTCAAGAAATATTTACACCAAGTTCAGGTATTTCCTAAAAATGCAGCTGAGAGTAACTTCTGATTGTGGCAGGATATAAATGTAATAAATGCAATAAATAAATACAGTTGTATTACTTATACTAATTCACCCCCTTTCACCACAAAATCCAAAGGGAAGAGTTTTTCCTAAAAAGTATTTATTTATTTATTTAGACAATTTATAAGGCTGCCCATTTCCCAAACGTGGCTCTGGATGATGTGTAAGGGTTAAAAACAAGTTAACAAAAACCATAATGCCTGAGGCCACAAACACAATCCAACTCAGAAAGAACAACATTAACCAGTGTTAACACAACACTGACCATAAACTAGATAATGCTGGTTAAAGACCAAAAACTCATACCACAACAACAAAAAACAACCCTACAGTTATCCAGAAGTTATACACTATAAATTGAAGCTATCTGGATACTCCCCCACAACTTGAACAAAAGTTTACAATAGAGGAGCTGACTGACCTGGATACAAGGGAAATAATACTATACACACAGGACTTGGCAGCTAAAATAAACACATTCTCACACACTCTAACTCCTTCCCAGGCCATCAGCTGTAGCTCCTCCTTTTCTATCTAAACACACTAGCAAATAAATAAACAAGTTACTCTATTGAAACACATCCATTCAAAATTCTTTCATTCCAAAACTTACTATAGGTGTATTTACTCCTCACATCTGTTTGTGAAACCCTTTTTGCAACCCCAGCAACTAGAGCCCATTTATATATATTTTAAGCAAGTTCATACAAGTTTCCTTCAGCAAACCATTTAAAAGGTTACAGAAATTGGATTCAAGCTCCCAGTTCCTTCTATTCAGGAAAAAAAAAAATCACCAATTTGTACTTCTTTTACAAAGCTCCATTCCATTCTGCCTTATAATACCCTGAGGCAGTCACATGCCATCACCTCATCAACTCTATCCATAAACCTCCCACTATTAAAAGGAATGACTCTCCTTTTGGATGACTGTTCCACAGCAATCATGCATGTTTGTCTCCTTTTAACCTGGCAGCAATCTACCATGAGGGCAGCCACTTTTCAGCCTGATTAGTAGCATTAATCCAGTGCAATAACAAAGTTCCCTGTGGCATATTGCAATTGGGGGGGGGGGGGGGGGGGGGGGGAAAAAAAAGGAAAAACAAGTTTCTTCAAGCATCACCACTAAAAGACAAATACCATGACATAACAAACGTCAGAAAACTGGATTCATAATCATTCCAAACAAAAAGGAAGAACAGCAAATAAAACAGAACACAATGCAAACTTAAAGCTGTTCCTGTATGCCCTTAACCTAGAGTTTTAAAAAAGTTTCAGAGTTATTATTTTAAAATGGGCAGTACATCACCCAATAGCTTTCGGGGAGGATAAAAGGAGTCACCGACTTTTTAAAAGCTAAGTCCATAAAACGCATAGTTTTGAATCTAGAAAGACTTTATTTTATTTTATTAAAAAGTATCAGCCACTGTGAGAAGCCGTAAGGAAGCAATGTTGGCAGAAAATGAAGGCTGGTGCGTTATCCCTACCAATTTCCAGAGGCTAAAGACTCCAGCTTGGGGAAAATTCGTTTTCAGCCACTCTTCTCATTTCAGTGGGACTCCTTCCCAAGGACAGGGTCCCTTATCCCCTTCCTCTTCATCTGCCCTCCCTCCCCTTTTTGAACCAGGGCAATGAAAGGTACAGGCAAAGGCAGAGGAGATCCAGACTCACATCCCCAGCTGACTAAAAAGCCACCCGATACTCCAGGCCAATCACCTTCTTTCAGCCCACCCGACCTCCCAGGGTTGTTGTACGGATCAAACGGGGGGGAGGGGGCGTAATCTACCCCACCTGGAGCCGCCCAAAGCAACTGGCTCTCAATCAGTCTGATCAGTCGCCCTCCTTTCCCCACCGACCCCCATGCTGACGCTGAGGCCTTATGGGGATTGTAGTCCAACGCTTCCAGAAGACTCCGGGTTGAGAAAGTTGCACCGCTCGCTCAGGTGTCCCTTCGCTCCCCTCTCCCCCCGCCCGGCCTGCCACCCTTCCTCCCATTGGCCCAAGGCTCTCGTGCGGCTAGGGGCCAACCAATCCCGGCCAAGCAACGGGCCCGGAGGGGGGAAGCTAACCGCCACTTGAGGGGACCCCAATTCTCCCGGGGAGGGGAGAGCCGCCGCCACCGCCCCGCCTCAGCCCACTCACTGTTGAGGCCTGGCTCGGTGGGCGTCCCCTCGGGCGGCAGGTTGTTGTTATTGTTGTGATGAGACAAGTCCTGAGGGGACGACATGGCGGCGCGGGACGACGGCGAGCGCGGAGCTGGTCCGTCCGAGGCAGCGTGGAGGAAAGGAGGCAGCTCCCGATAGCAGCGGCAGCAACGCTGGGATCGCGAGTGGCTATCTGGACGCTCCCCAACGCCAGCCCCAGCAACCCCGCCTCCGCCGAGCCGCTGCGCAGGCGCAGAGGGAGCCTGACGCTCTAGCCGGCGCACAGGCCCCACCCACTCACGCAGCTGGAGCCTTTCCTCCCTGACGCTCCTCACGTAGGCCATTCGGAGCCGGAGAGAGGGGGCGGTCCCCCAGGCGGGACTGCGCATGCCCGCCCTCGAGTCCCGCACGTAGCCTGCGCTCGCCGTCTTCCTGCCTGGTGCCGGGTTTCTTTGCTGCGCGCGCGCGCCGAGCCGGGGGGTTGTAGCTTGCTTGGTGGGCATCAACGCAAGAACTAAAAATGCACCTCTCCCTCCTCGTGACTAGCTTGAGATCAGGGGGTGCAGCGCCTCAGCGACTCTGGCTGCTCTGAAGCGCTAAGCAGGGTGGCGCCCGGCTCCTGCTTGGTTGGGGGACCACTAGGAAATCCAAGGTTGGAACCAAACTAGGGAAGCTGGAAAACATCCCCGATGTGGTAACAGTAACAAACTCTTTACAAGCGCTAAAAATAAAGTTGCCTAGAAAATGACAGAGACCCAGGAGAGTGCTTTTTTTCCTCTCTTTGTTAATAACAAAGAGGGAAACTGATACATAAAAAGTGATGCCAAAAACATGTTTTCCCTTTTCTCTGGTTTTATGGTACTTGTCTAAAAAATGCTCGATGAATACTAACCCCTGGATACTCCATCATCTTACAGCAGAGGGAGAGGAAAAAGTGGAAAGTACCTTAAACTTATCCTGAAGTTTATTGAAGGTAATTTAGCTGTTCAGATGAAACTGCTTCAAATGTACTTTCTGTTACTGCATGTGTCCGCCAGTTTACTGCTAAGAGCTCCTCCCCATCCAGATCTGGATCATAAACCACTTTCAGTAACCTGGATAATTCAGCACCTTACATGTTTAAAATGCAAAATAAAATCAGAGTTGGAAAGAATAGCCATACGGGATCAAGCCAAGATCCATCGTAGTCTAGCACAACTCTGGGAGTTGAAGTCCACATCTTAACGCCACCAAGGCTGAGAAACACTGGTCTAGCATTTTGTTTCTCCTTGCCAAACATATGCCTCTGGGGTTCTCACAACCAGATAGAGATAATGTATTCCTCTGTCCTTCCATTGTCCCCTCTGCAATTGGCATCTGGAGACAACCTGGAGGTAAAGCTGAATTTTCAAGAATAATGGTCCTTGATAGACCGGCCCTCCATGATTCTCCCTTGAAAGCTATCCAAGTTAGTGGTCCACATCATGATGCCTCACGATAAAGAATTCGATAAGCAATTCCATGCTGTGTGAAGTGTTTCCTTCTCTTTCGTCTAACTCTTCCCAGCTTGGAAGTCCCTATTCCTAACATTTTGAGGGAACACCCCCCTCTTTTCCTGATTTTACACACCTTGAACATGTCTCCCCTCAGTTTCTGTTCTTCTGAACTAGAATCCCAAAGCTTTTACCCTTTCCTTGTAAAGAAGATACTCAATTCCCTTGATCAGCTTGGTTGCCACCTTCTGCAGTTTTTCCAAATGTAATTCAAGTCTTTCTGTTTCAATGTATATATAACACTGCCTAACCACAACTTGGCTTCTCTACTTACTTCAGTGTTGTCCAAACTTGGCCACTTTAAGATGAGTGGACTTCAACTCCCAGAATTTCCCCCCCCCCCCCCCCCCC